ATAAGGTTTATGCTTCGGATATTGAATAGTACTGTATAAACATCATAAGACGTCCTTAACCCAAAATCTGAAGAATAACAAACCACTCCTACCAGATTAGATTTGACGCTGGGTGACACTGCCTCCTTGCTTATAGTTCCATATAACGGCCATATGAGCTGGTCACAACTCCATAGTATTTGAGCACCTGCAGTATCAGATGCATCTCGCATTATTTTATTAGCTAGAGCGAAGTCTCGCTCACTGTCAACGATGTTTCAGCAGATGGTGCTCCTATGCTACCGCATAGGCATCATAAATTGTTCGTACGCCCGAGCATGTCAGACCAGATTTTTTTGCTCAAGCGGACAAAATGCGCGAGATGCATCTGGCACATGCATGAGCTCAATTACTATGGAACCGTGCCTATCTTTAAACGGACCCTACGCAACCAGTAACAAGAGGATTGTGCAAACGTCGTAAAATTTGGTCTTAGAAGAATCATTCGTTAACTGATGTTGACTGATAGGTGATTACGTGTGCCATGATTGATAAATTTTGATTCCCAGTATTAGAGGCTGAAATACGCTTTCTGAGATAAATCGCTAATCCGGAAAGGTCAGATATCGGTAAGAAACTTGGTGTACCAGCGCTGCTTCTCCAGATTCAGAAGTCAAAACTGCGATTGCTTGGGGAGGTCTTCCGAATACTTCCACGAAAGAAGGCGAGACTGATATTGTTTGCTCAACTGACCAGCCGAAGGCACCGGGGGCGATCAAAAATTACCTGGGGTGAGTGTATGGAAGGACATTTCCAGATTCGAGCTACCTTCTGCCGAAACTCAGATTGTGGCACAGGATCGAGAACGTTTGAAGCACTGTCTGACACATCTGCCTCCGCGATCCGAAAGGAATATGAACCTTTCGGCCTTTCGGACAAGTCAGATATTTTCCTGCTCAATTGTTGTCCTGCCCGAGGGACAGTAATATACTTCAGCAGCCAAATCGATAATTTGGAAAAAATTTTAATAAAAATATGTCCAAATTAAATTATAGATAATATACATTTTGAAGATATTAAAACTGCAAATTTATTAACCCATCTGCTGCAGTGAGGTAAGCAGAGTTCCTAACCGGAAACAAGTATTTCTATTTACAGATGCTGTATGCACTGCCACATTGTTCGCAGTGGCGAACGCCGTTTTCATTTTCTTCTATCGTTATCAAAAGCAATTATCTAACCTGCAGCGATTAATTTCCATATGAATGGTGCAGCATCTAACAGCCGAATATTCCGGCGTTCAGATATCATTGCTGTAGGACATATCTTTGTCCAGCGCTCGTCCTCAACTTACGTACGAACGTACTCAACATACGATTCGTCGGTCAGACAGGCAAAATGCCATAAACGTTTAACCTCACTTACACTTGTCATACCTTCGGCACAGCTACAGCTGCCCAGAAGAATTGCCTGAACCTTGAAGCCGATGCCCATGGAGCTGCTGACGTGAAACAACACTGTTTCTCGCATGTTGCCATCGGTCATCGGGCGCCAGGTAAAAGTCACGTTTTCTTTCCCGTTGGCGCAAACACCAAATTCGGTGCGGGAGACACTGGGAAATATCATATGATACTAAAAGCAACCTTCAGTCGATTTCTTACGTCAAGTCACCCCTTTTCTATGAAAATTTCTCGACCTTCACGGTAACGTTGAAAAAGGCTTCGTTTACCACTGATATTTTCACGAACCTGACTTCGCCAACAACTACTTCTGGAAATAAAATATATGGCGGTTTCATGAAATTAGCCAAAACCAGCACCGATTCTTCGGCCATGATGTAGGGTCGACTATGTAACAAAACAGTTTAATACTTCTGAACTGGCGCTGCAAATGATGTTGCAGATT